GGGCGGGCCCCTGCCAGCCCTGCCCCAGCACATCTGAGAGCACCCAGGCCAGTCCTGCCCCAACCAGTGCAAGTGCCTCCCTCGAGGGGACCTGGAGATCCCCTTCTTTCCAGCCAGTCCTGGATGCAGCTGCTTCCAAAGCACCAACCCCTGCACCCCTGACCCAGATGCTAGCCCAGCTCAGCCCATGCCTCTGAGCTTCTCTGCAGCCACATTCCCAACAGGCCTTTTACTAAGAGAGAACTCCACCGCAGTGAGCTTGCTGTATGGGCAGGCTGGGGCTGGGAGGCAGAGGCAGTGTCCCCGTGTCCGTAGATGCAGGGCACAGGTGACAGCGCCTGTGCCCAAGTGATCCCAGGCTGCTCCCAAGAGGCACAGGGCGGTACCTGACTCCTCCAGTTGTTGGGCAGGGGGATGTGGTGGTTGGGCCCTGAGCTCTTCTCGTTGTGGTACATGATGGTGTTGAGGTCGGGGAAGTTGCGGTTCAGGTCCACGCCATTGGCGTTGTTCCGGCCGGTCAGGTACCCATTGGTGGTGGGGCTCTGCGGGGAACGGGGAGCGAAATGGCTCTTCAGGACAACCAAGGTTACAGGCTGTGGGTCCCCATGGGGAAAGGCCACAAGCAGCTCCAAGCACTTTCAGACAGGGTCAGCACCAGGAGGGGAAACGGCAGCAGAAACCCAGCGAGCAGTGGGCTCCGAGTCCTGCCAGGGGCCGGGACAGGCATAGGCGCAACGTCCGGCCCCCGGGACCACAGACACCCGGGGCTGGGGAATCCTGGCCACAGGCGAGCACAAGCAGTGCAGGAGCAGATGGAGGCAGAGAGCAGCCTCTTTGCTAGCCCCGCCATTGACCCTTGGGGGCAGGGGCAGGGCAGCCAGAGCTCTGGGGACCCGCGCACAGCAAGGACAGGGTGTCAGCCTCCCCAGGATGCTGCTCCAGCTTGCAAATGCCCTGACCCCTGTGGAGACCAGAGGCAAGAGCCACGAGGCAGTGGTGAGGGGCACGGGTGCCTCAGGGGCTCTACCTCTGCATGGCCTGAGCCCCCAGGAGGGCGGGGGGAAGCATTAGTGGAGAGGCTGGAGGAGCAAGGGCAGAGCGACCGGCCCGTGGGAGGCCGGAGGGGTCCCGCAGCCCGAGGTCGTTCCCACCCCCTGGCATCGCTCGCCCCTACCTGGTTGGCTGCCACCTCGTACCCGTCGGGGTTCATGGAGGGCATGATGTGGATGCGCGTGTCATGGATGAGCCGCGTGATGCGCTCGTTGCCGCGGCGATACTCCTCGCACAGGAACTCGGAGAGCTGCAGCAGCAGCTCGCGGCCCAGCACCTCGTTCCCGTGCATGTTCCCCACATACTTGAACTCCGGCTCCACTGGGGAAAGCAGGAGAACGGTGACACCACCACGGAGGGGTGGCTGCCCCTGGGATGTGCCCCTGAGCTGAGCCATGCCCTCTCCCATGGCAATCAATGAGCCCCGTGCTCGGGAGCGACCCCCCGCCCACACCCATGGTGCTGTAGTGGGGTCACTGGGACCCAGCCAGGAGCCCTGCCCCAGGGCACTTGACAGCCCCACACTGGGGCTGCTGAGCAAAGGGGCGGGTGGGGGAGCCCGGGAGCCAGCACAGGAGACTAATGCTCAGCTCCTGGCAGTGCCGGGGGCTCCCCGGAGAAGGGAGTGGGGGTGGCAGAAGCAGGCCATCCCCCGCCTCCTCTTGGCCAGCGCTCCTTGGCTGCTGCCCTCCCTGCCTCGCGCTGCCTGTCACATTCCTGGCCTCACCAGCCTCCAGGGGCCTGAAGTGAAACAGCAGGATAAAAACCAATCCCTCTGCCTGGCCAGGCCCCACAGCCTCGCCTGTAACACATTCGCCTTGTGCCCGGCCCCTGCTCAGCCCTTGAGCTCCCTGTCCAGCGCCAGGCGCCAGAGGCAGGAGGCCCGGGCCAAGGGACCGTTCCTGCCTGGTCCTGCGGGCGCAGAGGCAAGAGTGCAGGGGGCTGGGGCGCGGGTGGGCGCTGTCCCCAGCACGGGCTGGCTGCTGCAAGGGAGGTCTCTGCCATCTGGCGGTGCCAGGGCCAGCCCCCACACCTGTTTCAGACTCTCAGCCAAGGCCTGATGCCCTGAGGCGCTGGCCCTAGGGCTTGCTGGGCACCAGGGCAGGGCAGCCCCGGGGAGCGTGGGCTGTTCTTGTGTAGGCATCTGACTCAGTCCATCTGCTGCAGAGCCTTCCTTGCTGTCTCCATCTGACGGGACAGCCCGGGGGCATGGCCCGGGCAGCCCATACCAAGAGAGAAACGAGGAAATTGCATGGAAAATTTGGTCTCGTTTTCACAGGAAGGGCCCCAGGGAAAGCTGGCGCCGACCAAGATGCCAGTTGCAGGCTGCTCCCAGCCTGTCCTGGGCCGTCTTTTGCAACAGTCTGGAAAGGAACAGCTGCAGTGGGACACGTTTCCATCGATGGTGCCAGGAGCAAGCAGGGCCCTCAGATGGAAGCGCCATAAGGATCTGGGGGAACGACAGAGTCACAAGAGCTGCCCTCGCCCGGCAGGGAGCCAGCCCCAGGTCAGCACATTTGCTGTCTGTGCCAGCCATGAAGGTGCTTGCAGACCCACTTGAGCTGGGCACTGGAAGGTGATCATGTTGGCCAAACAGAGCTGCTTTCATGTGGCATCAGGGCACGTCCCACGCCTCCACTTCACCACGGCACTCATCAGGGCTCTCACTGTCCTGATCCTGTTAGTCTCTGTGCGTCACTCAGGGTGCATTTAGGCTGCTGGATTGCAGGAGACACGAGAAGTGATTTGATCTCATAGACTCACAGGCTTGGGAGGGATTTTGAGGGTGGTCCGGTGCAGTCTTCTGCACAGAAGCAGGAAGGGCTGCACCAGCCCAGTCCAGCCACCAATGCATGTAGACTTCACCCAAAGTCCAAACTACGGGACCCAGGGTCACCCCGTATCACTGATCCCCCCTCGCACTGGAGACAAGGGGTGAGAACCAGGGCTCCCAACCTAGCACAAGAGCACTGGTGCATTCAGGCCTGAGTGACCCCACAGCTCCTTGCAGCGCTGTAGCCGCGATGGTCTAGGGAGCCCACGAGGAGCAGGATGTGCTTGGTGGCAGTGGCTTTTCTTGGGCTGATCATCTAGACAGGATGTGGCCAGACAAGTCATTGTGCCACTGTTCCTGGCACCAGAAAAGCAGTCGTGGAGTCCAGAGGGGTGTTTCCTAGTGCCTTGTTCGCTGCATGTCCCAGACCAGGCCTGAGGGAAGGCCAAGGGCTCTGGGGCTCCGTGCAGGCTCCTCTGTGTCAGGTCCTTCTCTCCTTTCATGCAGTGGTGTGCAAAGTGCTGCTGCTGCTGTGCACACCCAACAGGCAGAGCAGTCAGGCTCTGCCAGCCCAGCAAGGGGGAGCTGAGCACCCATGTCCCATCACTCAGGCCTGGGGAGCAGCAGAAAGCAGATCCCAGTGGAGCTTGCTGCTGGGACAAAGCTGGGGGAAGGTGGGATTTGCTAGTCAGACCAGCATCCGGCTGTGCCGGCCAGGCCCAGAGCGCAGACATGGCGTGCTCCGAGGGCAGGAGCAGCTCCATGAGACACAGTGTGGACTTCCTGGCACTCACCAGGTCCTCTCCTGAGCCCAGCTGGGTGCTGGGAAGCCAACAGTCCCCTAAAAGGCAGGCAAACCAGGAGGCAGAGACACATCCTCATGTATCGCACAGGACATCTCTAGACTCCTTCAGAGCTGCACCCGTCTCAGGGAGCAAACGCTCATCCCAGCCTGGGACCCAGGAGCACAGGGTCCATCGCTAGCAGCCAGGCCAGGCCCTGTGTCTGTCCCTGCACCTCATGGCCATGGTGTTGTTCACAAGCCACCAAGGCCAGGGAAGCCTCCCCGTGACACAGGCTGGCTGGGGCTGCCAAGGCCTCCAAGCTCCTGGCAACACGGGTGGCTCTGCAGCCTCCTCTGCCCACCACGCAGGTGCAAGCAGGAGCAGGGGCCCGAGATTTCCTGGCGGACCAGCTGCCTGCTGGAAGCAGCCCATGGCTCCCCCAGCCCAGGCTTGGGGCAGAGCTGACAGCTCACTGCCAGTGCCCTCAGCGTCCCCGGCCGAGTCAGAACAGGTGTCCATCAGAGCGGGGGTGGCACCGTATTCAACCGGGCAGACAGACGGCTGGATGGATGGGCAGAGAGAGCACTGCATTTCCCTGCTGTCCTCTCACTCCAGCAGGCTTTGCCCTCCAGGAGCTGATGCGCCAGCCTGGATATACTGGGCATTTGCCCATGACACGGGGGAAGCAGCTTAGAGCAGGGGTGCCCAGCTGCCCCGCTGCTCTCCCCAACAGCTGGTCCCAGTAAGGCCACAGGGAGACGCCATGCTGCACCCCGCTGCGGCACTGTGCCCCTCTGCCAGGCAGCCCAGGCTCAGTGCGGGATCTTGGCCCTGTCCCACGGCCGGACCTGGCCCTCCCATCACAGGCCATGTCAGCTCTGCCTGGCACTGGGGAGGGCTTGCCTCTCCCCTTGGCACTGTCTGTGCCTGCGCAACCCAAGGGCCCCCCAGCCCGCTACCTGCAGGGGGGCATGGGGTAGGCAGACACGGGGAGTGAGGAGGGACAGATCCCTCCAATGGTCCCCACCACAGCACTGACCCAGGCTTGAACCAGTGTCCCCACCATATGCCCAACCAGGTGAGGCTCCAGCTCATATGCATGGGGCTCGTGCAGGGTTCATAGCAGGTCACAGGGACGCCAAAGGCCTCTGAGCCCCGCAGCCCGTGCCGGCTGTATCCGACTCCTCTGCCAGGGCTCCAGAGCATGGCGTCTGGAGCAGGAGCCACGTGGCTGAGCACAGCGGCTCCTGGGTATGGCAGTGCCTGGATGCCAGGAGAGGCCAGATCCTGCTCTGACAGCATGCCTGACATCCCCTGAGGGACACCCCCATGGGCCCCGCATGGGGCAGGGGGTGCGTGCAAGGCTCAGGCCGCGGCCTGCCGGCACTCACAGCCCCGGGCTCCCCCCGCCCGGTACTCACGGGGCTCGTGGAGGCCGGGGTAGTCGCTGAACTCCAGGACATAGAGGTGCCTGCCCTGGACGCTGTGGCCCAGGCTGTAGATGCGAGTGACGTAGGGGCACTCATTCTGCACGGCGAACAGGGCCTGCACCATCTCCTTGTAGCTGTGGTGCACGAAGTTCCCCGTGGCAGCCGCCTGGCACAGGAGCAGGGCTCTGAGCAGGGGCCCGAGCAGCTGAGCCATCCTCCCGTGGGCTCCGCGGAGATCGCTGGGTCCCGGGCCCCCTCCC